TGCTTCTAAGCTTCTTGCAGCACTTTACTACTCGTATTCGCTCGTACTTTCCTGGTGTATCAAAAAGCAGGATGGAGGCACTGGTGGATTGCAAGCGTTGTTGGACTCGCATTATCAGCGGATAGCCTGAAAATGGAATCTCGATTTTAGTGGAATAGAGTCGGTCGTTTTCTTTTTGTTACTCTTTACCTTACTCTTTACCTCGATCTCTCTATCCATCCATCTCTGCTTTGAGACATTTTATTACCTTTACAACTCTCCGTTTTTTCTTCATTCATTCGAATCCGTTGTCCGTCCACCTCTCTGATTGTTTTGCCTGAACGGGTATCTGGCGTTACGCCGACAATGGTCTACCTGTAGGGCGAGGATGTATATGGAGTTGGTTGGCTAAAGGGCCTAGGTTGCGTTTTTCTTTCCTCTCAACGTCTTCTCCAAGGTCTATGTCTTTGTTTTAGCCCTCGTTATCATCAACTAAATTGCCTGCCTTTTTCCGTAGTTGTGAACGTGACGTTGACTTCAAGCCTTCCACTGGATTCTAACATTCTCGATAGAGGCTGTTGATCAATCCAATGCTTTTTGTTGAATCATGTCTCTATGATTTAGAGCAACTACATTGTGACTATTCAAGAAACATTGTATGTCTTGCCTGTATATGAGATCCTTATCATAACCGATATATGTTAATCATTCCAATACAAATACCATGCATTACATATATGAGCAATCTGGAGTAGGAAATAATTAGGTACAGCGACCTTGAATGTGTAATCCCTCCTTTTACTTCGCCACGAATCCTTAGGGCTACTAGATCTAATATCGTACGTCAATCCTTCTATTAATATTCTCTTCTGCTTTCCCGATTGCGTTAGAGCGAGAGGGATAGGGAGAGAGGAAATGGGCTGGGACGACGTTACCAGCTTGAGAGTATGTTGGATTGTTAACTTTATAGGAAAATAGAAAATCCCATGTGTCATAAAGGGTATATTGGTAACAGACTATATCTATATAGTCGTTCCAAATCGCGAAGAAAATAACCTCTCACCGGGAGGCGTCGTTGTTACTCAGCTGCTATCCTTGCCAGAAGTGAGGTTTAATTTGTTTCTAAAGTAGTGATGGCGTAGGTTGGAGAGGAACAGGATTGGGGCGGTAGATAGGAGGTTAGGATTCTAGGAAAAGGTGAGGACCAGATGGTGATAGTGTAGAATCAGTGAGCCAAATTTCTGCTCTGGGGGGGTCTGGATGTTTGGAAGGAGGACTAGGAATGACAAGATAAAGGGAGTTGCCCTAATTGATGCAGAGAAGATTGGAACATCTCAAATCGGAATTGCAGCGCACGTCTGGTATATACATAAATGAATCCTGTTAAAACAATATATCACGCATCATGTAGAAAAACCGGCATTAGTTCGGGACACATCCAAAAAGCCCTATATTATGATAGGCAGCCCCAGCAAAGAAGAAAGATGGGGAATACGAAGAAACCAGAAAAAGAAACAGTAACAAAAAAAATCTATAAGATAGATAACCCAGGCAAATCATTTTCTCCATCCATATATAAAAAGCATCACGCATCAACATCACCATCAATATAAAAAATTTAAAGTCCAGATCGTAGAAATTACGAAGACCAAGACTCAAGTCCAGACAGAACACAGCCCTCTTCACCCTCGCCGCGAGCACGCAGCTCACCAACGCGGTAAACAGACTCACCAGCAGCCTCGAAGGTCTGACGGATAGCAGCCTCGGAGGCAGGGTCGACGGCAATGATCATACCAACACCACAGTTGAAGGCACGAGCCATCTCGACAGAGGAGACATTACCAGCACGCTGGAGCCAAGTGAAGACGGAAGGCTGGGCCCAGGTGCTAACGTCAACCTGAGCAGTGAGGGTATCGGGGAGCATGCGGGGGATGTTCTCAGTGAGACCACCACCGGTGATGTGAGCAAGACCCTTGATGGCAGCACCGTGGGTGTTCAGTGCGCTGAGGATGGACTTGACGTAGATGCGGGTCGGGGTGAGGAGGGCACGGCCGACGGAGACGCCGGCGTCGAGACCGGGCATGGAGAAAGGTGCGGGGTCGGTGTAGCTCAGGCCAGCACGCTCGACGATCTTACGGACGAGAGAGTAGCCGTTGGAGTGGGGGCCGGACGAGCCGAGGGCGAGAAGAACATCGCCGGAGCGCATGTTTTCTGTGTGCGGGAGGATGGCACGAGCGTTGTCGCCCGTGGTGTTGATAGCGCCGACAGCGGCACCGACGGCATCGTAGGAGTCGTCGACGAAGAGGCCGGGCATCTCGGCGGTCTCGCCACCGATCAGGGCGCAGCCGGCTTGGACACAGCCCTCGGCAACACCGGTGACGAAGGCCGCAGCCGTGGGCACGTCAAGGTGACCGCAAGAGTAGCAGTCCAGGAAGAAGAGGGGCTCGGCACCTTGGACGACGAGATCGTTGACGTTCATAGCGACGAGATCGATACCGACGGTGTCATGGATGCCGATTGAGTGGGCGATCTTGAGCTTAGTGCCGACTCCGTCAATGGCTCCAATTAGGGTTGGGGAGTGAGGGTGGTAGGCGGAGTTGGCAGCGGCCAGGGAGAAGAGGCCACCGAAGCCGCCAATGACGGCGTCAGTACCGGGGCGCTTAGTACGGCGAACAGAGCTCTTGATTTGGTTGACAAGCTCGTTGCCGGCATCGATGGAGACACCGGCTTGGGCGTAGGTGAGCGAGGTGCTGGCGGTCTGGCGGAACGCGCGGTGGGCAATGTCCTTGCGGTAGAACATGTCCTCGAAGCTGATGGTCTTGATACCTTCGTAGCTCTTAGCGACGGCCTCCTCAAGGGTTGAGGCGGTAGCCGTGGAGGCGATTACACGGCCCCCAGCTGTTTGCAACTCGGTGCCGGACAAAGCTGTGCCAGCGTGGAAAATCAGGGTTCCAGCGGGCTCGGGGGCCAGAGTGATGGGCTTGCCCTTGGCATAGGCGTTAGGGTAGCCACCAGCGACAGCAATGACGGTGGTGGAGAAGTTGGGCTCGATCTTGATCGAGACACCGTCCAGCCAGTGGTCAGCACAGGCCACCATGATTTGTGCAAGATCGGTGTCCTTGCTGAGCAGAGGCAGCAGAGTCTGAGTCTCGGGGTCTCCGCCGCGGACATTGTATTCAAGGACCTTTGGTCCGTTCTTGGTCATCATGAGACCGGTGAACAAGATACCAACGAAGGGGAAGCCTGGAAAGGATTAGCAACATGCTTTGGGGATGTATATTCTAATGAAAACGTACCGTCCTTTCGCATTCCGTCAACGGAGGGCTGAATGATGGTCCGGTCAATCTCTTCCACAACCTCCTTCGGCGCGATGCGGGTAGGCGCGTAGCAACCCATGCCACCGGTGTTGGGGCCTTGATCGCCATCGAAGATGCGTTTGTGGTCTTGCGCCGGAGGAAGCGAGCGGATAGTATAACCGTCACTGAAAGTGAGGATACTCAACTCATCACCCTCCAAGCACTCCTCAATCACGACCTCGTCACCAGCCTTGCCGAACTGGTGGTCTACCATCATTTCCTTCAAGGCCTTGTGGGCCTCCTCTTTGGTGGTAGGCATGATCACACCCTTACCACCAGCCAGTCCATCAGCCTTGATCACGACATTGTGTGATACAGAGTCAAGGTAGCGACGTGCGGACTCGTAGTCAGAGAAGTTACCGAACTCGGCGGTGGGGATCTGGTGGCGTTGCATGAAGTCCTTGGAGAAGGTCTTGGAGCCCTCCATGCGGGCAGCAGCCTTGGAGGGGCCGAAGCAGCGAATTCCAACTAGTTTTAGGAGACATTGTTAGAATAATTGAAAGGAATTGGTGTCAAGGACATGAGGGGGAAAAACGAGGTATGAAAAAAAAAAAAACACAGAAAAGAAAAGAAAAGTGGCATGTGACTCACCAGCCTGGAAATAACCCTGGATGCCATCAACGAGAGGTGCCTCGGGGCCTGGCACCACGAGGTTCACCTGATTCTTCTGTGCGAATGCCACGAGGCCTGGGTAGTCGTTGCCCTTGATATTGGCATTGGTGATCTTGCTATTGCCCCGGGCTGTGCCACCGTTTCCGGGAGCGACATAAATGATGTCGACCAAGGGAGATTCGCTCAGCTTCCAGGCAAAAGCATGCTCACGGCCACCATTGCCAACAATGAGGATGCGCAATTGTTCGGAGGCCATGGTTGGGAGCAGGGTCTCGACTAAGGTGATGTTAGCAAGTACTTAGGAAACCCCCGCGGGGTATGTAGGTAGTGCCCCTCCTCAAGGAAAGTGAGTCATATAGCAACGGGATGGAGTGAACAATCGTAAAAGACTCGTAATAATAAAAGAGGACCAGCAGCTTACTTACCTCAAGGAGACCTAATAAGCAAAGTCGACTTGTATGCGGGAATGGAGAGTCCAAAGATGTTAAAGTTTATTCAACTTTTTTTTCTGCCCTCCGGCTGGGTGTTTCTCCGACCCCAGAAATCTACCCTTTCTCGGCCGGTGATGTTCCTTATGGGAATTTTGTATATGTACGGAATATATAATGATGAATTGAATCGAATTGGCAGTTCGTTGCTTTATGTCTTATATCATATTAGATGGGAGTATAGGATAAGGATTATAATTGCAATACTCTTAAGTATAAGTCTCAAAGAACATTGATTTTGTACATATTTTATGATATTGTTATCTCATAACACCAAAATACACTCTTTGTTGAAATATAAAACATCTCAAAGAACTAATATCTAACGCTCGATTCCTCTGTTCCTCTCTATGGACCAGATTTTCTGGATATAGATGGATTGCCTCAGGCGTCAAGATAACAAAGCGGTGACTCCAATCTTCCGGCAGAAAAAAAAATCCGGAGAGGCAATTCACCCGGTGGCTTATTGACGGCTTTCTTGAATTCTCCGAATTCTCGTCTCGAACCGCATTTCGGAGACTGCATTCCTACCCTTCCCCAAATAATCCCTCGACCGTCGACCTGAATGCTTCGGACCTCTTTGCGGTCTGTCTCAGGCCCTGCAAGCCGACATGTTTGTCTCTCCTGTTTAACTCGCCCTGGTGCGCTCGGATTGCGCCAGTTTCATCGCATATCTCCACTACGCACCGATTCAGGCGAAATTAGACCGGAAGTGAAGTCATTCGACGCGTCGATCGAACCTCCAGCACCGCTGCCGCCCAATGTATGCCCTTCATTCCAAATCACAACCTGAGAACAAATACTAACACAGTGTGCAATAGGGTCAGGCTCCAGAGACTAAAGATGCCGCTTCTTCTGAACCCCAGAAATCCTCGAGGCCGCCTAGAGATTCGCCGAGAGTACTCACTGCTGCTGCATGGGCTCAGATGAGTAATTCACAACGGAACAATTACAAATACAGGCACCATGCGTTGTACAACAAGTTCAAGCGGTCAATGATCGCCGATAGAGAAATGACCCTCAAGGAAGCAGTGGAGCTAGAAATCGCGCAGGCGAAAGCAACAGAGCAAGAAGCAGCACCATTAGAGGCCACACCGCTGGAGACCGCACCGCTCAAGGCCGCCATGTCGGAGGCCGCACTATCAGAGGCAACCCCGTCGCAGGAAGCTCCATCAGAAGCAGCTCGGGTGGAAGCAGAAAAAATAAAGGCATTGCAACAGAAGATGACGGCAACCCAATTGGAAGCTGCACGAGAAAGAAAGGCCAAATTCAAGGCGGAGAAAGCCAAACATGAGTCTAAAATGATGAAGGAAAAGCAAAAGCAAAAGCAAAAAGAAAAAGAAATGGAGAAGGAGAAGGAGAAGGAGAAGGGGAAGGGGAAAGAGAAGGAAAGCCAACTTGGAGCCGAGGTTGCAACAGATGGCTTATCAGACATGCCTGCGATCAGTGAACCCAAGAAGACGCTCAACTTGGAGTCCGCTAGCAATGTGGTGGCCCAAATATTGGAAACCGGCACCACGAACAGTATCACCAGCCCGAATAAACCGTCTACCGAGGCCGAGAGGGAGAAGGAGGAACAGGAGGAGCCGAAGCAGGCCCCTCATCCTCTTCATAAACACGTTACGTCTAGGGACCGCGGGTCTCTTAGCTCAAAGGACCGGGACCTGCAATTGAAAGGTGAGTCTTGAGCTATGACATCAGTGTGTTGAATTTGGGCTAATTTTATACTCAAGAGGTGCGTACCCCCATGCCTCCTGTCCCACGCGTCGCCTTTGGTCTCGACCGAGTGCTTTTCAAGTGAGTCATTGAGGATACCCTATTATTGATCGATATACTAAGAGTCGACAGCCCCGGTGTCTATCAGCTACGTGACCCTCGGTCTCTTGTCTATAACTTCGATCCCTACTTAGACCAGATCATGCCGGTGTCGGAATTTGACTTCGATACCTTGAAGCCATACGTCACCTCCTCTAAAGATGTGACGGCTTGCGAAATGACCAAGAAACTTGACAAGAAGTACTATGGCTCGTCGTCGAGCATGACTTCAGTTCTCTCTCATTTCCATTATCTTCTGTCCGCGTGGCGACCTGTCGACACTTCCAGACTTACTCAAAGTTACGGAGATCCTCTACGCTCCTTCACCCGTCTCCTTCGAGCGCCGACTGCCATGTTCCTCCGTTATAATGAGAAGGAGGATATTTACGCCATTGATGCCGATAAGGAATACGACACGGCTAATATCCTTATGCACCTGGGCAAGTCAATGGAGAAGCAACTCACACTGCCAAAGGAGAAGTTTGAACGCTACCGCCGTAGCGATGCGAACAAGATCACTGCCGAGGAAGAAGCAAGCGTTCCGGAGTCATACCACTATAGCACCATAGGCAAGTTCCTTATGCGATCGCAACTCGACGCCTATGATCCAAGACTGCCAGGTACTGGCATGTTCGACTTGAAAACACGTGCGGTGGTTTCGATCCGCATGGAACCTGTGGAGCACAAGCGTGGGATGGGCTACGAGATCAGACGCCGCTTTGGCAAGTGGGAGTCTTATGAACGCGAATACTTTGATATGATCCGCGCCGCCTTCCTCAAGTATTCCCTTCAGGTACGCGTTGGCCGCATGGACGGCATCTTCGTCGCATATCATAACGTCGAACGCATCTTCGGATTCCAATACATCACCCTTGAAGAGATGGATGAGGCCTTACACGGCCAGAACAACACAGAACTCGGAGACACGGAATTCGAACTGAGTCTCGGCCTGTGGGAGAAGATTCTGGACAAGGCAACGGCGAGATACCCCAAGCAGTCCCTGCGCTTCCACTTTGAGACCTGCGACGGTCCTACCCCCTACATGCACATCATCGCCCAGCCCGTGACGAACGAGCAAATCGACGCCATCCAGTCAAAGAATCAATCTCAAGTCGATGCCATCACGGAACGCCTCTTCTATCCGGATCGGTTCGATAACAGCGAGACTACGGACTCAGCCGAACCCGAACCCGAACCCGAACCCGAAGCTGAACTCTCTCCAAAAGAAAATACCGAAGCCGAAGCCGAAGCAGACAAGAAGACCGAGGCGAAATCCCTTGGCGATTCCCTCGCCGACGCTCTCTTCCCAATAGAACCCACCGACAATACCGCAGAGCAAGGCGCCGAGTCGGAACTCGATACCTCATTCGAGCTCCCCGGCCTCAACACAGACTCCAAGCCCGAAGCCAAGCCCAAAACTAAAAAAGCCAAATTCGTGCCCAATCCCAGCCTATCCACCGAATACGACGAGAACCTTCTTGCTATGACACTTACCATAAATAACAAGGTGAACGGAGTTCCAGTGCAGCGGCCGGGATACTTCACCAAGTCTGACAAATGGACGATTGATTACGAGCTCGGCGAGATTAGTGTGGAGCAGGGTAATACTGTTCTGCAGGCGGTCAAGAAGCGTCGCAATACTCTTCTGAGAAAGAACGTGCAAGATCACTCGAATGACTTTTTCATGAATTTGCAAAAGCTCACTGACAAAGGACGTGCTTGGCGGAAGCGTTTGAATAAGATTGATCGTGACCGTGGAATTCTTGTTTATAAGGATTCTTGTGATATGGATGTCTAGGTCTTGGTATGGACATATGGAGGGTTGGGGGATGAGATTGGAATCCCTGTTGTAAAGTATTAGATTAATTCCTCTCTCGCATTTTTCCTGTACTGTATATTTAGATAGTTTAGGTATACATTCGTGGCGTTGTTTCATTACATAGTTGGACTGGATGCGTTCTAGGGTCGGGTTGGATACATATTTTGGGTGTTCAATGATGTAAAACTATCATTATATTTTATACCGTCTATCATGCAACTCTCCAGAGGTACATCTCAACTACAAAGTCTTGAAATGATTAAATGGAAAGGAACAATGGTGTTTTCATGTCTATCCAGAAAGTATTCAAGCCAGAGCGAGCAACAAGCGCAAAGAAAACACCACAATGAATAGCAAACAACCCTAAGCCCTTACACCAATAAACATTAATGCACGCAAGCCATTAGGCCGCAAAATGAGGACGAGGCCTTCCAACAAGAGTAAGAGAGCAGAAAACAGGCACAATCAAACGGATAGCAGGATATCGATTGCGTTGGTAAGAGATGTTGAAATATGTAATTGAAAATGAGTAATGAGCATGGAACGCCTGAAGAATGCGGTGTTTCTGTAAAAAGAAATTGGAACGCCAGGGTATCAGTGCCGACTGGCCGGTTTGGAGAAATGGGATATTGGATGTGGGGCGGGTCAATGAGTTATGAGTTAATGAGTAAGACCAAATATGATTCACAGGGAGGAGAAGAAAAAGAAGAAGAGAGTAGGAATATGCAATCGAAGCCTGGTTGGTCGTATATATGTACTGTAAGAGCCAGGCTTCGTTTCGTGTTGGGGTGTGGAGAATTTTGTACAAGGTAGAAAAGGAAAGTATCTTGGTGGGGGTGAGGAATGCTACTGGAGCTCTCCCAAGTCGACCTTTGGTGGTGCCCAGTCGAGCTGAGGCGGCTTGTCACTGTTGATATACACATGCGAGGGACGCACTCCATCCGCACGGCGACGTTCCCTCATCGCGGTGCCGCTGAGGAAGCCTCTTAGGGTTGACGAAGCGACGCCGTAGGCGCTTCGCGTACTGCCGGCACCTATGGAGGCGTTGCTGGAAGAACTGCGTGCGCTGCGGACGCTCTCGGCCTTCTGGACTGCTGGGGGCACAGCCGGGACGGGTATAGCCAGGCGAGAGGTTGAGGTTGAAGAACCGTGACTGGATGGAACGAACTGGGCAGGAGCGGCTGTGTGGGGGCGACGGGTATCAGATGGAAGGCGCTTTGGTTGTATAGAAGTGGATTCGATGTTCGAAGAGGTATGGGATAGAGTGTCGGATGTCTCTGAGAGTCGGGTGGCAGCAGGAGACTCGTCTGGCAGTGAGGACGCTTGGACCTCATCTGCCGACACGGAAACGTCGAATTTAAGATTGTCAAGCATCGTGCCCAGGCTCGCTGCTGTTCCGGGCCGTCCATCGCTAGCATCATCATCGATTTCCTCAATCCCATGGGCAATGTTGTAGTTGCGGCGGAGGTATCGATGAAGCCGGGCGACTTCTGAATCCCATCTCTCATTCAGAGATTGCAAGACTAGTTCAACGTTGTGGTTGGCAAACGGAGAGTGTTCCATGGCCGAAGCAACGCTAGGTGGCGGTGCCTTGCTCAATCTGTGCCCTTGCCCCCCTTGGCCAACGCTCATCGCTGCATACAGAGAGCGACGGACCGAGTTTGCGGTGGAGGCTTGGCTGCTGTTACTAGACTCCCATCGAACATGATCCACCTCTCGGCGTACTTTATCCAAGGATAGCGTTCGATCCCGGTCCATGCAAGAGAGAGTGAGAAGGGAGCGGTTGCACCGAAGGCCGTTGACCAACACCGTAAATGATTGCAGATTGATATCATTGTTCTCACAGTGCACCTCGCGCAGCGAATCATTCTCCTCTAAGACAGAGGCAAGCGTATTCGCACCTTGAAGACCGAGTTTCTGGTGCTCAATTCTCAGGACCTTTAGGGAATTGTTCTTCTTCAGGCCAGTCAGCGCTAGATTGAGGCCAATGCCGAAGCGTGCAACATCAAGATGCGCATTGTCACCGCTGATGTCCAAAGCCTCAAGAGTCTCATTCTCCTCGAGCATCACCTGCAACGATCGGCAGGTCTCAGGGCTAGCATCATATGGGAGGGAGGCCTTTGAGATATCCAGGAACTTAAGGGTGCTGTTATTTCGAAGTGAATTTACCATTTGACGGAAATGGTCTTCTTTCTTGAAATCAATCATGCGCATTGACAGATGCGAGGGGGTTTTGTTCTTCGCAATAGCATTGAAAATATGAGAGCAGCCATTGTCAAGGCGGTTATCGTTGACATGCAGATGGAGGCTGCGCGGGGCATCAGGTCCAAGGGACATCGAGTGCATAAACATAGCCACATCTTCTCCAGTCAGACCACACTGATCAAGACGAATCACCCGAAGGTTACGGGAACGATCGCTAGCCAGGTAAGTAGCAATGGCATCCACAGTCTCGCGATTCAAAGCCGTCCGACTGAGAGCCAGCTCTTCGAGTCGCCAGTTGAACAGCATTTCAGCCGTGATGAGCGGGTCGGCACCAGACGTCCGTGAGATGCGCGATAAGTTGATTTTGCGGATTTGTCCGAAGTAGCCGATGTACTGCTGGAGTACATCGGGATTCAACCGGCCCTGCACGCCCGATATGTTGATCGCCTCGAGAGTGGATTCCTGTGCAACCAGCGTGGACAGAAGAAGGTCTAGATCATGCACGGATAATCCACAGTCCCCGACCTCCAAAGCTCGCAGATGACTACGCCTTTGCGAAGCCGCATCGACAAGATAGTCCAGATCCGACTCACCCAGCTTGATGCCGTTGAGTACGACCCAATCCACGCTGGTCAGTTCTCGACGGCACACGGGGAAGATCGCTTCTGGAATCCCACAGCCTGGATCGCGAGTACCCTTATCGAGAGTTGGTGTCGGTATGCGTGTAAGGCAGTAAGAGAAGTCTAGTCGGCGCAGCCACTTGCTCTTCAAGGCTAATGCTCGCACCTCTTGCGATAGGACAGTCAGATTCGCCTGACCTGGAATGTGCACGAAGGCGCCACCTCGATCAAGATGGACATCAGGATCCACCCCATGAATATCACGAAGGCCCTGCAATGCATCGAGATTGATCCCACGGAACGAGATTGACCGGAAGAATTCATTATAGCGAAGTGCGCGCATGACTGCAATGAGTTCTAAAGCGGTGTACCGGGCTGTTTTTGGTGAAGCAGGCTTCAGGAGACGGAAGCATGGAGCATCCTCGCATTCCTGGTCGATTGTGTATCGAATATTCGATGTGTCGATATCATAACTGGCGGAGTAGGCGACCAGCGTTCGGTCGAAGCACCCATAATCTTCATCTAAAGCAACAGGTGGGAAGTTGTCGTCATTTTGCAGTTCTTTCGGGACAACGAACTCGTACGGCTGCCTTATCCACAATGGACGGAGATATTCAGTATGTTGTCGGATCCAGCAAGCGACTTCAACAGAATGAACGGAGGCCAGGAAAACATTGAATGATTTCTTGAGAGGAACCCTGAATGTCAGATGCAGGCTATCGTCACCGTACTCCATCGACAACCCAGTCAGGTTCATGAGACCAAACGAAGTACCAGATTCCCAATCTGACAGGGATACAACTGATGATCGATTGGTTGTCTTCTGCATCGGCAGCAGATGAAGCTTGTGCGCGCCAATGGCAAGATAGCAGCCCGTGGGCGACAATTTGGTCAGGTCGTCAGAGGAAGAGCGGGTGATTGACTTGCTGGAGGCGATTTGGATGACTCGGAACATGCGGAACACCTCCGGGTCGTAATCTCGCTCGTGTTCCAGCATGCGCGTTACATACTCAATTGAACCCCTGCTAAACGGCATTGGACAATTTGCTCTAGCCATCTGAGCGGCTTGGCGAATGCCCACCATCCAAAGGTTCAATTCTTGTAGATCAGATGTCTGCATTTGAACCAATGTAGCTTTGTGTGTGCGCTCATCGAGATAGGCCACTTCGACCGATGGGGATAATCGTGCATCCTCCAGCATATAGACCGCAATTATGCTGTTTAATGGGATTCCAGCAGATGAATCTCCAGTCGCCATTAATTGCATGTCCTGCAGAGAAGTGACTGAAGCCACCGATTGGCGATGGACAGCCGGAGCTTTGGCATAAGAAGCGGGGATAGCACCAAAGACATCGGCAGCTTTCCCCTGGTTCTTGAATCGAATGAGGTGCGTATCCGTAAGGACCAAATATTGACTCTTTTTCCTCCACATGCCTCCAGTTGTCTGCACTTCCCCATGGTGGAGGATCGCAGATGACCAGATCCCATTTCGGGGACTGGCCATGGTTTGCTCATCCGCCATCGAGCCAACGGAGGCACTTATAGGTTCATCATCCTCCCATGAATGCAATGACTTCAGAGATCCAAACACTGAGGTTCGCTTTTTCTGCAGCGATTTTCTCCGCGGGCGAGGGGTTTCAATGACGGGGGTGGATGCTGACAAGCCAGCGGTATCGGAGCCTGCTGTCCCAGGGCGACGGTTGTTCGATCCATCGGACCCTCTGTTGGGGCTGTGAGACCGACCAAAGAAGCCAGAATTCCGTCGGGTTTTCTTGTCCCGGGTCAATGTATCATCTGAGGGTGTTCGGTCATGGAGTGGAGGTCGGATGGAGGTTGATATTGTGAGAGATGGGCTGAACACGCTCAGGCTCTTTCTTCGTTGTCGTTTGCCGATGATTTCAGCCATGTCGGGTTCGGAACGAGTGGCACAGAAGGGAATTGCGTAAGGTAGAAAGAGTCGCGGCGCGAGTGTACAGAGAAAGTAGATCTCATTGACGACCTCAACGTCGTTCGTACTAGATCAATTAGCTTGACTGGTCATGGCGGGCAATATGGAACGGAGAAAGAATGAGGGGAAAACACATACTGCAGATTGTCACAGCGCCATGAGAAGCAATTAGCACTAAAAAGCCAGGAAAAATCTTCCGGTCCAAGTCAGACCAGCGATTTTCTACCTGGAGTAGCTCCCGGTTCTGTCAACAATGATGGTTGCGGAAGGAATCCACAATATCAGCGAAGAAGGCTGTGATTTGATAGGTCTAGATAGCTTGCGGAAGGGAAATGAAAACAGTGAATTCACAGGGATAACCCTCTCAATATGTTGTAGGGAGGGAAAAAGGAGGAATGAGGATAGAGAAATGGACGGATGCAGTCCAACTGTAACGATCAAGAGATGTTTCAGCTGGATTATATTTTATTTTATTTTTCCCTTTCGATTCTCTAGCCTTAATTTGATTATGAAATATTAATAAAATTCTTTAGCGGTTAAACTTGTTTATATTTTAAACTATTAAATTAAATCTGTTCAATCTGCCCGCTTATTTACACCCAAAATGCGAAACCTCCACGCGTATCTCTATCTCTACATAAGGACTGGACCACGTAGGAGGCGCACGAAACTTGATAGTCCCGATATAAGGGGCTACTTCGTATAGAGATCAGTGCGATCTGATTTAGCCTTCTTTTTGGTCATCTTCAGTATATTGGATATGATCCTTTCTTTGTACACAACCCTACAGGCTACCATTTCTCCCTCCCCCTTCCCTATACGATCTACACTGCAATTGACACAGCATCATAGGTTGAATTTTGGGATCCACCCCCAAAGTATGATCGGCGTTTCACTCCATGTTGCTGCTTCCGTATGTTCCGTAGGGGTGACTGATCTCTCGGGCCCACGCGAAAAGGAGATCACAATAGATCATCCTGGTAATCAGGGGGAATATCCCCACGAACCTGGCGTCATCGATGACGAAGTTTCAGGATCAGCGCTTGATGAACGCAGTTACAAAGTAATCGCCTCAATTCTGTGAGGCATTGCAGGGTTGGAAAATGACTGGGAATTGAGATTCAGCTGATCCAGAGGTTCCCACAAAGCCAGGTGTATTGTGTCCGGTGGAAATTGCCATCATCCAAGCTCAAGCTCGCATCCTTGCAAAAACAAGTGGGCAATATCTCTTGACGCTCTTTATCGGCGATTACCCTCTGCCCTTTCAGCCTCTACTCGCTCCGCACGTTTGATGCGTCGCACTAGTTCGATGTATTCTGTCACGCGTTTCTCTTGCCAGATACATCCACCCAGAGTCATGGCCGCAACTTGTAGGAAGACCTTGAACTGTGGTGTCAGACCGCGATAGACACGGGACCCCGGGGATACCCAGCTTGAGAAACCCTCCAAGGGACGGTGGAAGAGTCGTGAGCGAAGATAATCACGGGAGAATATGGATGGGCGTGGACGGGGTTGTGTCGCGGGATGTGCGGGCGGAGTTGGCGCGGAGAAGACGAAAGGGTGGGGTAGGGAAAGAATCATATGAGCCAAAATAGACACAGAGCCAAACTGAAAGATATTAGCCATTGCACTGGGATTTAATGTATTGGAGGTCTTACGCGGAACACGCCGGTCATGAAGCCTTGGGCGGCTATCCAGGAGATCTCCTCCGGAGGTTCAATGCCGCCGCTTTTGTTGGATGGTGCTGGCATTCTGAAGTTTACAATAAGTGTATGGTGAAGAAGCAAACGTCTGACAAAAGGAATTTGAGAACTCGGGATTGAGACCTCGGGATTTGATGTCGGTTTCTTATCGAAGCCGAGTTCGGCGAGACGATATACAAAGTAAAAGACAAAGTATACGGGAATATGTGTGTTCCAGACAATGGCAATATCAAAGACCGGTTATCAAGGATATCAAAAGTAGAAGCGTATGCCGACCAGTGTCCTTGAACTTGTTTCCCTTACGATCTCAAGTGTATCTCCCCCATACTCTAAAGCGCGGATCAACGATTATCCAGCAGACGAGTCAGACAAAAAAGATATCCGATTATCGCCATCTACAAAACACCGACACATTACAATCGCTAGTCAATTCAACCTTCAAATCCTCAATTCACAATGTCCCTCCCCGCACGTACAGCGACCATCTCACGGTCCACCAACGAGACCAAAATCCAAATCTCCCTCTCCCTAGACGGCGGCGTCCTCCCGCCCTACGAACCCTCAACCCACTTCCCCGACCCAACAGACCCCAAAGAAGCCGAAGCTTCCAAGAAAGGCATTGTGCCACCCAAAGATGCCGCCCATGCCACACAATTCACCCCAACCCAGCAAATCACCATCAGCACAGGCATCGGATTCCTGGACCACATGCTGCACGCGCTTGCCAAGCACGGCGGGATGAGTCTTGCAGTGCGCGCAAAGGGTGATTTATACAGTGAGTTTCCGCCCTGAAAACCATCCTAAACCTTATATGGGATTTCGTTGTTAACCCCATCCAGTCGACGACCACCACACAACAGAAGACACCTTCCTCGCACTGGGCGAAGCCTTCACAGCAGCACTGGGCGCACGGCAATCTCTCGAGCGATTCGGTCGCGGCGATGCGCCCCTTGATGAGGCTCTTTCATGGGCTGTGATTGATCTCTCAAGCCGGCCGTGGGCGGTTATTAACTTGGGCTTCCGCCGCGAGAAGATCGGTGACTTGAGCACGGAGATGATCACTCATGGCTTGCAGAGCTTTGCGCAGGCGGCGGGTGTGACCTTGCATGTCGGTTGCACTTATGGTGATAATGACCACCACCGCGCGGAGAGTGCGTTCAAGGCGCTTGCTGTTGCTATTCGCAATGCCTGCAAGCGTCGGGTTGCGGGTGATGTTGGTGCTGGTGATGTTGTTAGTACTAAGGGTGTTTTGTAAGGGGCTCGTCAAAAGCTTTAGATATATATAAAATTCTGTTATGAATGAGACGAGATGGATATACAGCATGGTCTTCTTGTTACATAGGACCCATTACAGAGCTATAGGTTCTGGACATGAAACGAATCTCAATGAGATCAAGTCCTGAAAATTCAACTTCATTGCTCTTTTAACCCATAATTCTAATCCCGTAATCCATCAATCATAAAATATCAAACATCCAACCAGCCAAACAGAGCAATCAACGCCAGCATGGAAGAACCAGCTCCAAGAACACCTTGAACCAAAACACAATAATTACACTCCAAACCCCAATACTAACCCTAGCCCCAAATCCTCATAATCTAAACTCCAAGAGCCTTAACAGCTCTTTCCCAATACCCCCTCCGCTCATCAGTAACAGAAGTCCCCACACAATCTGAGATAAACCGCTGCCACCCCGTCTCAGATCCATCAGCAAGCGCAGCCCGCACCTCCTTCGAGCACTGCGTAGTAAGAAACCAAGCCGCAGAACCAAAGTCCGTAGCAGCATCTTTCCGGAGGAGATCAAGTAGATCAGCCGGGTTATTGCTGACGCTAGGAATCTTGTCTTTCAGCTCCGGTAGGGAGGAAGCGTATTTCTTGTTGTAAGATGGAGATTGCATGTTGCGTGCTGGAAGATGAGAATATGGTCAGTTTGGATGTGAGTGTTGGGTGGGAGAAAGTTAGGGTTACGTACTGCCCTGTCCGGCAACACCCGGGAAATGATTCTTGTTATACTTGAAATCGCTGCTCTCGAAAGCCATTATGCTGATTATGGCTGCTTGCTCGGCTTTCGAGGTTACTTTATAGGTGTCGAAAGCTTGGGAGGTGTACTTTGCGGCTTGCTTTGCTGTGGCGCATTCACCTTCTGCTGGGGCGTCGGAGCAGGATTTAGATGTTGGGGCGATTGTGATGACTTGGGATTCTGTTAGGGCAGTGGTGTGGGCGAAGAGGGAGAATGGGATTGGTGTTGCGGTTGTTTGGATGGCGAGAGTTAGGGTTAGAGAGAGGAGGAGGGTTTGCAGGTGCATTTTGTATATGGTGGATGGAATAAGTATTGGAAGGATTGGTGGTAGGGTAGTGGGCGACTAGATCATGTAGAGCTTAAGAGTCGTGGACGAATTACTGTTATAGATGGGTAGTATAAAAATGGATCTTGCTTCTGTGCTAGGACTCAAGGGCAGCAAGCAGATTGTCTTTATAAGTCGTGGCCCATGTCTGTAAGAGGCAGAAAATGCATGAAACAAGGGCTTACATTGTCCAAGGTAGCTGGAACATACAAAGGGGAGGCAAAAGGGAGATACCCCGTCGGTAGTATGTACATTGTAGGCTTGACGCGGAGAATGCTAGACGTGGATTGAAGTATGTTGGATGACGGCAAAGGCTAATATCAAGGAAGAACATCAAATAATGAACTGATATGTTCACTAACAAACCTGTATGTACTACTTTATTTCATAAAAAGCCAAAGCCCTAGATTTGATAGGACCATTGGGAAAGCTTGTCGATGCAAGGCACAGTGCTGTCATTGGTCGGAGAAATTAGGGTTTCAGGATCAGGTGCTGTTTGGGGTTGCCGTATCTGATTCTCCAACTGGAGTTAAGACACGGTTGATCGCACAGACTGAAATTGTAGTTCTTACTTCGGATTTTACTTTTGGAATAGTGGAAAGGCATTATTGATCCATCATTCTTCCCGGAGAAATCTGATTCAAGTGCATAGAGGCATGTCCATAACATTTCACTGTCTCCCGAGAAGCGAAATCTAACTTGTTTACAAATCCATAGACAAAAATAATAAAAATAGGGGACAGTGAAACAAGACCAAGACACAGACACTGAGGTCTGCGCACATGTCCAAAAGCAAACCCAATTGCTCCAGGTGAGCATTCAATCCAGGATCCTGTCACAGGATTGAGACACCATGCATAATGCGCTCCTAAACACAGAAAGAAAGGGCAAAAGCTGTACAATAGATGCTGATGCGGAAATCATGCCCGGGGCTGTATCGTTACAGACAAATACACAAACTGCAAAATGGCGAAGTTGCAAGTCGAGACGTCAATCTCTAGATCTCTAGTCATCGCGACGTCCGAGTTCGTACGAGGTCTCCGTAACCTTGCCTGACTCTTCATCTTCTTTGAAGCTGACACGTCGCAAAAGCGTCGGGACCGAGAGTCGCGAGCGTCGGGTTGGCGATGCGGAGAGTCGCGACGGGTTGATGATGTTTGGCACTTTGGCGTAGCGGTAGCGGTACTTGGCTCCCAGTAGCATGACACGTCCGTAGCTCCACCAGAGGCAGAATCCAACTACTCCAGCGAGGAGGAAGCCGCAGATCGTGAGGAAAACCCAGTGTTGACCCATCTGCGAGGATATTAGCATGATTCGAGAGTTCCATACCAGACTCTTGCCACTTACCCAGAAGATCAAGCGCGCATCCTTTCCATGCCAGCTGTTACCCCGGTGATGGGTGAAGAAACTCCAAGAAAACTTATTGTATTCATCCTGCATGAGGATGCGCACGCGCCCAGCCTCGCTCGGCCCTTCGCGCATGTACTCTTTCCAGATGACAGAGAGGAACAGCGGTCCAGTCGAGTACATGACGGTGATATATGGGAGGAGCCAGTGGCGATCATACTGTTGTAGCACTTCAATCGTACGGAGGAAGAAGGGGTGTTGTGGTACGGAACCCATGGCATCATTGGAGATACCGGTGGGTGCAGTGCGGCGTACCCAGGCGGGATAAGCGTTGAGAGGATCCAGGCGACGGTTGCAGCCCTGTTTGATGGTGTTAGAAGCGAGACCTCATGGGGTCTTTCGGGAAGTATACTTACATCGTCGAGGTCAATGTATGTTCCACCGAAGTGTGCAAGAATAAAGTATCGAATAGTATCCGCGCGTTGGATAGGATAACTATAGCCATCAAAGGTGTCCAAGAACCAGGGGTATTCGGCAGCGATAAAGTCTCGCGACTTCTCGTTTGTCCATAGCTAATGACACACGTTAGAAACGTTGAATGCAATAGATCAGTAGAGTCATGGACGTACAATATACTCATAATCGGGGTGCAAATCAATACAACTCTGTTGGGCTTCCCTCCAGACCTCTGGAATAGTCTCATTCTTGTATGTTTGGTGAATGATCTTTGGAATGATTTGGGGGCGTTGCTCGATCAAGCTGGAATTCGGTGAGGGCAGCTCTGCGCGGTGAATCGCGTCGGCAGCGGCATCCTCGAATAGTAGCGCTAGAAGTGTCGAGACACTTCGGACGAGCAAGGAGAGGATGAGGAGGTTGACGAGGATAAAGATCAAGAGACCGCGCCGCATGATGGCGAAAGATAAAGGTTTAGGGAAATAACCAATTGAACAATTCGTAAAGTCGTATCAAGTTTCACAGACCCTGAGGCCGTAGATAAAAGGTTCACAGTAGGAAAATGCAGGTCATAGAAGAATATCGGATAATAGACGATAGGGGGAGGAAAGTGTTGAATAAGGGGAGCCTAGTCGATAATAAGGAGTGACAGGAGTGGGGAGAGACTAAAGCTTAAGGAGGAAATGAGAGACTTTTTTAAAAAAAAAGGATGAGGCAAAAAAGAGAAAGTGACAAAAAGGAAAACAATACGATACAACAACCTTGGGAAAGGGAAAGCTGTTGACAAGATTACGAGGCTGAGCAGAAAGGGTGGCTGTGGTTCCAAGATTAAGAGGCTTGGTCCTTGTCTGATTGGTGAAATCGGAGTGGGGCTACTAAGGGGGGGATTTTTTAACCTTTTTTCTTTTTTTTTTATTGTATGGGAGTACTCCGTAACGGAATTTGGGGCTTGAATTCCATGTGTTAATTAAAATCATTTGAGAGTATCTAAATATACAATCCGGAGTATAGATATAGCTTATTGAAGCTCTTATCAATGTTCAACTTTTGTCGTCGCTAAAATAATCCAAAATTGGCGCAAGGACTCGTCATCGTATTGTAAATGGAGCGCCGTGGGGAAAAAGTCCCCACGCCAACGTGAGACTGGTGTATTGAGCTAGTCCTATTTGGGTATGTACTCTATCGGTGCCTTTTTGAAGCCGAGGCTAGTGAGCACCCGCTAGTCCATTAATTGACTAGCCCTTCTCAAAAAGCGTTAGTACAGAGTATAATTCACAGAGTACGAAAGGGTCAACTATAATAATATTTCACTTTATGCGGTATGTGGTATATTCCAGACTCCAGAAGTGATTGTACAGATGTATTTTTCGCTACCGCCACAGTGGCGTGGAAACACGTAGACCTTCAATCAGACCTCGGGAACAATACCTCGGGAGTACATTCTCTCAACTCCCACGCGTAAGAAGAAAGAACCAAGGATGCCTTGACCATAGGTTCGGAAGGTTCATTCTAACATGAGAGGTAGGAATTGGCACCGATTCGCCAAGCGAACCGCCACCTGCACTGGGACGTGCACCCTGCGATTCAACGGTTACCATTGCCATCTTATTATGGAGTACTCCGTACGGAGTACGGAGTAGCGTATTCGTATGTGGTATTATGTTATCGATAGGAATTGAAAACTCATTCAATTAGTGGATAGCTATGTTCCAGATGGAGCTTCTAAAACAAATTCTATGCATAGCACAATCTCCACTGTAGTTTTCCCATGGGAAAGTACATCTCGCTAGCCCCATAATTGCCCTGACTTTCTGGTACAGCCCCAACCACCCAGAACGGTTCCGAGGTCGTGGCCTGGCAAATTGATTGACCACGTTATATCTCGATTCAACATCTTTCGTACTTCGTCATATCAGAAGAGATCGGCTTAATTTACTGTCCAGCTTTTCCAAGATCAGCTGGGTGTGACGTGGGTGGTGCCAATCCAACCTCGTTATAACATACAGCCTATAAACTTTACTACACATTGTAAAAGATCGTCCGTGCTATGCTAATAGCGAACGGGATGTGGGCGCAAAAAAAAAAGAAAAACTGGGGACGAATTAGTTACCCGTTTGGTACAATTCTGAGAGAACAATGATGCCTAACGCATGTTACGGAGTATTTCGTACTGCACATAATGAATTACCTAGGTAGGATTTACGTGCTCTCCGAGGTAAACATCGGGTTAATCAACAGCGCCGCATAGCACTATCTTGGTTTGGACTGAAAATATGGGGCCAATACCTGAAAAAGCACGGGGCGCTGTACGATGTATGTTGTATATTGCCCCATGATTCTGCTCTAACATCATGATCCTTCCAGCCATGTTAAAGTAGCTCTTTCTACTCCGTAATAATAACCGAGTAAACATACAACTATACTTCAGATGACGTGAGATGACTAGGCTGACTAAATACTATGTCTGGATACTGCCTGTAGATACTGCCTACAGAGTATGCATCTGCAAGATCGAAGCTGTACAGCCTTGTAATTGACTTGGCATCGCCAAACATAGCATGATCCCGCATGGATGCATTCTGTAATGAATTTCAATCGTGACCGGTAATGCAGGCAATCACACGGTGTTGTTTTACTCTATTTTACTTTAAAGCATGTACTTCGTACTGGTGAGTTGACTACTCCGAGGGACAGAGCGAGTTCTCGTCTACTTGGCACTGGAGGTCATGGCGACGTTTTGATACATGTCGTCATTTTAAGGTCTGAATCTGCATGCAGCTCTAAGCGTGAAAGAGTAAAATGAAAGGTAATTCGGGTATCTATGGCTATTGCAATGTCAAACATATGCACGCTCTTTAAACAAAAACAGAAAACGAGTCCTAATCCTTTCCTTCCACACAGGTCACATTGAGCGGACTGGGCTGAGGGGCAACGTCCCATGTCATCAGAGATTAGGGAGCTGCGCCGGATAGACCCCTAGCTAGTCTCCGTCATACCACCCCTGGACACAGCTTTAACGTGGCCAGTTTTCATGGCTAACCAGTATTGCATGCAAAACCCGTTGAATGATGTCGAATGCTTTCATCAGGCGTGAGGCGGATGAAAAGCGCCACCAAGAGACCCGCTGGTGTTTAGGTTGCCCCTTTCCGTGCACAGCTCATAGTTTTGATATCAATGATCCAACGCCAGACTCGGACCTATCGCGCCCTCTTCTCTACTTATACCGGGGAGACCTATCTTTCATTCAGCGCGCTCTACTTTTCGATCTCCATTCGATGCGACAAGAAACCCCGAAACTGCCTTCCCGAAAAGCGACACTTGATCAAGGAAAAGAATGAGGCTCATCGAACCTCAGGCGCCGCAGCCACAAACTCGCGGTTCACATTAGCCGCACCCGGCGCCCGCTCGTTGGGTCCAGAGGTAGGCTCGAACAGACGTCGCCACCAGCGAGGCGGGTCAAACGGACGGTGGCCATCATGCAGGGGCGGGTAGACATCATTGAAGAAGTACCAGATATGACCGACCACAATACCGAGCATCTCATCCTTCGGTACGATCTTATGTACAATCACACTGAATCCCATCAGTACCCAGGGCAGATAAGGAGCAGTGAAGACCAGTAGTCCCAATAAGCTGAGACGGGTGTCTGGGTTGCGCCGGGCCCAGATGTAGACCAGGCTGGATGATAGCGCGCTTCCCAGGAAGGGTATTGAGAGGAAAGGTGAGATGATGAGGAGACATGTCATCGCATAGAAAATCAGCCATGCGAATTGAGCTGGGGAGCGACCGGAGGTCTCTTCCAGAAGGCGGGAGTAGCGCTGCAGGAAGAAGACATGGAACAACAAGTCGAGATTTAAGGGCCCGAAATAGAGGAATGTCGTGAGTAGTCGCCAGTACTGCGATTTGACATAGACAGACCGAAAGCTGTAGAACAGCTGGAATGGCGTCACAATGTGGCACTGCACCAAGACTGAGGTTGCGACGGTGGCTACCGTCCACCACCGGGTGACGGGTGGCATCTCATAGAACCATTGTTCGAGGGGAAACTGGCCTGGTTGCCCATTGTTCTCCCAGAGAGCAGCCATGGTGTATGGTGGTTGTGACTTCTGGGCGCAGAGATCAGAGAGAAGTGGAAGTGAGGGCGGATGATCACCACGAGCACTGAGAGCTCTCTAAAGTGCCTCCGGGGTATATTCAACCTATGACGGAGATAAGACCAGGTAGGCCACTTTATCGTCACGTGACCAACCCGAGACGCGTTGCTACGTGAGAATCACGGGGCTGGGACGCTAAGGCCCGAATAGTTCATATTGACCAGTTTTCCCTTCGCAACAAAGACAGTCTGATTATTAGCAGATACGATTTTTAATCTCAATCCTTCCAGTTGAACCTCGTGTGCAATCTTTAGCCTCAATACTCGGACACGGTTCCTGCAAGGGGGCAATCTCGACACAAACGCGGCAATTTGCAGAACGCTGGTTGCTAGGCGATAGACCTCCCAATTGATCGCTTTCCAGCACCCCACTACCCAAAAAAAATTTACGCACCGCGTTTCTCCTCATAGACTACAATGCCGCCCAAGGGAGTCCGCAAAACAGCACCGGGCAGCGCACAAAAAGGCAAAGCGCGCAAGACAGCCGCTGCGCCCGCTGCCGCACCAGCAGCTGATGGAGATGGAACACCAACCAAAGCACGCAAGACGAATGCAGGGAATCAATCAAAAATCGCTAAGACAACCGCTAACGTCCAACGTACGTTCTACCCTCCACCTACCACCGTCGCCAGAATGAGCGCTTTGAAGAGCTCTACTCCCGCAACTCCGCAACCAATCCCCCACAAACTCAATCACCCCATTCTAACAATCCCCTAGCTGGAGATCCAACCCCCACAGGCCGCCGCCGCCGCTACAAGCCCGGCACCGTGGCTTTGAAAGAAATCCGCCGCTACCAACGCTCCTACGACCTTCTCATCGCTAAACTGCCCTTTGCGCGCTTAGTCCGCGAAGTCGCGCTCGATCTCCTCCCCGCCGAGGTCGGCGCCGAGTTGCGCTGGCAGTCATTCGCTATCCAAGCTCTGCAGGAGGCTGCTGAGGCCTTCCTCGTCCATCTCTTCGAGGATACGAATCTATGCGCCTTACACGCGAAGCGCGTTACTATTATGCAAAAAGATATCCAACTTGCGCGAAGGATTCGCGGCGTCTGGGCAGGGCTTGGTTGAGCTCTATTGACTGTTTCAATTTTGCAGCTTTTTTTTTCGAGTTTAATATTAATTTCACGATGTGGTGGCTTTATTCTCTGGATGAAGAGAGGAGCCTCGGGGACATTGCTGGCGTATTACGGGCATGGAGTTGACTTTTTATGTTGCCTCCAGCTTCTGCTGGTGGAGTTTGTGTTGCGACCTGCAGGCTGGTTTATACCATGGTGTTTGTACATTACGCATGGATGTCGGGTGTTCATGTTTTTCTTTATAGGAAGCAAGCAATTCATGATTTTCTTGAGGTGGTGTGATATACACGCCCCGAGCTGAATCCTACCAATGTTTTCGAGTCAACAATACCTACAAGTATACCACTAAGAAAAGCTTATGTGCTTAGGATACTGGAAAGGCATCTCTTGGTTTGCCAATAACATCGATTATCGGCTCGCATCCCTGTCAACAATAACTGAAGAAAATATCAAACGCCTTCCCTGGTAGCCATCAAATGGTATCATAATGCGCCTTCCTAGGAAAAGTTCTGAGACAAACGCCAAAGAGAAAGATGTTAAGAAAACAAAAAGGTATATCATGCTTATAGCAATAGACAAAAGCCAATTAGGCCGAACGTCTCAGACGAGGTGGTAGACCTGAGACCAAGCGTTGGCCTTCTTCGCGGACACTTTGTGCTTCCTCGCCTTTGCCCTGTCGCTCTAGAGTATCAGCCAGCATGTCGTCGGTGACGCTCGCCCACATGCGGTCGTTGGCCCGTTTAGCCATTGCGCGGCCGGCCCGAGCGCTTTTTTCGGCTTGCTCGCCGACCACCCCACGGAAGTACTTCCAGCTCATGAATGTTAGGGTCATGCAGGTGATTTGGCTGTTGCTAATTGCGGTGGCAGACTGCAGGGCTTGCTGGAGGTACTGTTTTGTTTGGATGGTTGACTCGGAGTGAACGGTTGCACAGACTAGGAAGTAAGCAGCTTGTATGTACTTGTTGGGGCTGCTTTGGCAGAAGGGTTCGAGGGTTGCTAGGACGGCACCGAGCAGCGAGTGCGACGGGTGATTTGGATCACGGACGATAAGCACTATGTTGAGGCCGGCAAGGATGCGAGTATCACGACAGGGGTCATTGCGCCCTATCTTGCTGGTAGCGGGATCTAGTGACAGAATTGGTGATTGAAATATGTTCAGCGCTGCCTTGAGATCGCCAGTTGCCTGTGCGATGGTGCCGGCGGCATATTCCATTAGACACTCGATGGTGTCTGGAAGGTTGGAACCAAGATCTTGGATGACTTGTCGAAGATCGTTGAGAGTCTGACTGGCAAGATCCCAGTCGGTTCGAGCGCAGGCCAGGAAGACTCGTTGAAGGAGAAGGTTGCAGTAAAGGGACTGACGCCACTGGACACGGCGGTTGGCATTGACCATGGATTCTGAAATTTCTTGGGGGGCCTTGAAATTGCCTTGAACCATTCGAAGCCCCTCCTCAAGGTACTTTTCTGCTTTGCGGCCATCGTATGAGTTCTTGGCACTAAGCGTGATTGAGCTTAAGAAATAGCAAAGCGCATAAAGATCGTGTTGAGGAAGCCAGTTGAAGCTTAATAGTAATGTGCCATTTTGAACCTGCAAGATGTCACCGGTGTCGATAGATGACGGCCCGGCGGATTTGCCGTTGAGAGGGACCGAGAATGACCCATCTGGACGCCAGTTGCTGTCGCTGAGTGTTTCGTCCATCAAAGCCTGCATGACCTTCAATTTCTGTCCAGACTGGTTGACGTCGTACTCTAAAAGACTGCAGCATATATCGACCATTTGAATCAAAGTTGTAAGTTGTGGTATATGGCGAAGTTCATCATTCAGCTGATGGCTTCGCGCGGCTGCTACGGCGCGCTGCGCCTGCTCGATAGAATCGGAATTTGTCGCTTGCTGCAAATGTGCAAGTGATTCAATCACGGCTGCCATTGCTGAAACGGCCTTATCCCCGTTACGACTAGCCATGGCCGTGATTTTGTGGAGATGCTGTAACGCTTGCACGGAGTCTTGATGTGACGGAGATGACAACGAGAGTGATACTCGAAGGAAACGAAATGCGTACTCCCATGCGGCATGGCGGTACCTATAGCTATTAGCATATCATGGTCAAGGAGAGTAGAATGGCACATACGCTTCCACATCCTGAATCATCCCATCGACCGCTTTCAGTGAAGCTTTAGGGTTACTCTTGTGGAGCATTCGTGCCAAGAGGTGCTGCATGCTGTATTTCAAGTCAAGCATACGGTTCTATAACAGTCAGAGATCAAACCAAGTCCGCTATTAAGCTGCAGTTGACTAACTCGTTCACATAGATCAATCTGCTCAAGGTTAGTGGCTATTTCTGGGACAAAGGAGGGAGTGAATACACACCCCTTTACTCAATGCTGTTTCCGCCTCGATGTCATTGTCTGTTTCCTCGAACAATGTACGCGCATAGCGAAGTCTAACAAGAGCTTCTTTGCGAGGCTGCAGTCGCCAGTTCTATGATATCATTTGTTAGCATGGGCGCATGATTGCTCCAATCAAGCACTTCACCAACCTTCAAGACAGCCTCCAAGCAGCCCAATCCAGTAGCAACCAGCTTGTAATATCCCTCAATGTCCGTCTCACGAGCGGCCAATGAGGTCGTTGTTCCACGAGCATGAGCAGCATTCAAATATTCATCAGCTAAGGACAACAGCAGAACCTGGTAATCGACTGGAGGCTTTGTAGACTTGACTGGCGTGGATTTCACATGCTTTTCGACATTTGGATGAGTTGGTTGTCTCTTCTTTTCAACGTGCTGTGGTTGTGGTTGCTTTTGCGGAGTGGGATTTTGTTGAATTCTTGCTTGAACAGCTGGAGAAGGAACCGGGATCATGACTTGCGGAGTAGCATGTGTTACCGGCGATGGAGCAGGCTGGGGTCGTTTCGGCGTCGCAATAGGTGTAGAAAGAATTTTTTGAGGTTTTACTTTGGGAGAGATCTTGGATGGCGTAGGTTCGGATTTGATGATAGGGTGTGTCTGTGGCGTCTGGATATTGATTTGCCCTTGGTTGCTTTGAGTGTTTGGTTTAGGACTAATAGGAGGCGGGGCAGGAGCAACATGAACAGACATGGCTGGCGGCGGAGCCGGCAAAGCAGCGGGTGGTATTTTGGACGGACTGGCACTCTGGACGAAAGGTGGCTCGCCATACTGAGGAGAGAGTTGGGTGTATCGGGATCGCGGAGCAGTAGGCAGAGGTTGTTGTACAAAGAGTTGAGCCGGGTTGACAAACTGATGTTGCAGCTCTTCCTGTTGGATTCGAGGTGGAGGTGGAGGTGGAGGTGGAGGAGGAGGCGGCTGGGGCGGAGGAGGGGATTGTAGTTGAGGAAGAAGTTGCTGTGGTGCTGGCTGTGGCCGTGGTTGGAGAGATTGTTGTGGTGATTGCTGCGGCTGCTGTGGGGGAGTTTGAGGAGGAGGACGCGTCTGCTGCTGCTGTGGCTGCGGATGTGGAGTATATGTTGATGGATATGAAGGGTATGGCATCATAGCCGAAGGATACATTGCTGGCTTGCCAAAGGCATCGTATGGGGGCGGCGGACCACTGGCATTATTGTAGAGTATCTGCGGGGGAATTTGCCCATGCTGATACTGCGGTGGCGGTAAATAATGCGGGTATTGGCCGGGACCAGGTGGTGGGAAGCTCATCGCCCCGACAAACAGACAATACTCGTATAAATCGAGTATGAAGTCGAACGCGCGAGGGCTGAGCGTGGATCTTGGTGTCGGTCCGGAGAAACCCAGGGCGGTCAGCTGATAAGGGATGTTGCGATTACCGACTCTGCCCCATGGAGGTGCATGTAGGCTTCTCTCTACATTTAAAAAGTTATGGAAATTTTGTTTTGGCCTAATTGTTCGGTTCATGAGACACTTGGTTAAGGCAACAAAAAATATATCGAAAGGACTCCTAAAAGGACATTGCAAAAAAGTGAAGAGAGTCACCGAGATGATGGTTACTTCTTGTCTGAATGATTAATTTATTTGAGAATATTCATAAATACCTGGTACTAACCAGAAGAATAATACAACGCGCTAAGTCGACGCTCACTGTACAATATATATTGACAAACTCGAAAACGAGAGAAGAAATGAAGCCGTATGGGTCCGCCAATTCCTTATGGTCTTGCCCCCAAGGCTTCTCTTGCAGCTGAACAAAATCGTTAAACTATGTTGATGTATGTGTAAAGTTGGTTGATGGGTTGGTTACCTATTCCAGAATCGATAATCTCCTGTTCTATGCTCGGCGCGAATGAGAGTGCTGGATGCTCGCGTACAGTCCAAGGACACAACTCGTTGCAGTTTTCAACACTGACTGACGGTTCGGCTGGATGAATTCTTTGCGCTCCCCAAGCTGGATCAGGAACCGGGCTAGTGCCTCCGAGGGTTCTTTGAGTCGAGAATGAATATGTCGCCCTGCCAGATTTTTCAGAGTGGAATGGTGCTTTTCGTGGACATGTCAAAGTCGTATCACAAGCACTGCAGACAGATATACGTTTGCAGGACGAGCAGAAGGAGTCAAAGAGGCGGCATATAGTGGTTTGGTGAACGCTCGAGAGCCACAAGTCGACCGATCGATGTGCACACCCGAAGCGGGGTGTCATATAATCTTCCTTGCCAACTTGCCCTGACTCGGTTGTGAGTTGGTATTCCGTGCGAACAACAAGCTGATTGTCGTCATTGATTTCTGGAAATAAAGATGTCTTTAGCTCGGTTGGGCCGTACTGCTCGGTACATGTATGCCAGCAGTAGCGGTCACTGACAGCGTTCCCGAATTCCGACTTCAAGGCTTGCATCGTCACCTGCCGCACTCGAACATGATCTGCGAGATCAAGTTTGTCGCGGAAGGTTAATTTTTTGCATGGACACAAGTCGACAACTCCTGCTAAATCTCCAACATTGCATGTTCGATTCTCTGGCTTCCGCCTTAACTCTCTGGATGAGAATGCGGCTCGAGGGTGGAGTTTCAAGCACCTGGAGCATAGTTTCCAGCGGGCGTTTTCCAACACGTTGAGAAATGCCCACCGGGGTGTGTTAAAGTTATGCCCATTGCGATAATGGTGGAAAAGCGGAGCAAAATCACGACTGAATCGGAGGGATTTTGACAGCAGGATCTCTCCAGAGATTGCGAACATGCGCTTGTTGGTCAGCGCAAGCGCAGCCTCCGGCAGCACTGTCAGATGGGATATGATCTCCAGCAACAGCTCAGTAGGTAATTCCATTAGGTAGCAACGGCTATCTTCTTGCTTCTTCCCTCGCTTCGGGGACCAGGGTCTCATTTTGATCATGGTCTTAAATTTCTCTGTGGCACGGTATAGGCGATCGGACATGTCGGACGGGGAGTTCCTTAATAAAGTCATGGGTGCCAAGCTGGTCTTTTGTTGAGATCAAAGGTCATTCAAAAAGGTTTGATGACCGGGCCCCATGAGATATATGTAAATCAGCAAGACGTGTGGTGGCGTTTCAAGTGTTGAGCTATCATGGCGTAGTAGAGATCAAACACATCTTGTGACAAGACAGACTGCATCACCTTTAAAGGGAAAAGAGGAAAGGTACGGATCCGTTGATCTTGTAGTCTGCTGAAAGATAAAGACGTACGGAAACGGACCATGGGACTGGGTCACAAAAGATGGGCGTCAATGCTATCAGTATTACATATAAAGAAGAGGAACTGATCATCAGTGGCTCAGCTCGTTCTTTGTCCGATGATCCATATGCAGAACGCCGGATACTTCAACCTGTTCACCCTGCATTTATCTTTGGTTGGTTTTGATAAGCACATTGCTATTGTCGGAAAATATGGGGATTTCTCCCTGTCACTTCACGCCGGAGGGGAATTTTGGGCTTCCGCATGCGGAAAGCAGATTGCCGCATTAAGCATCATAGTATCATCACTTCATATTTGACGGAATTCCCTTACCTTGTTGCAACTGTGCCAATTAAGGGGGAGTTTTCCTATATCAAAATTAAACTCCGGAGTTATATGCGCTATGACTTTGTCAACTGACTGCGGGCGCGTGACAGAAACGCCAGCCATGTTATCACAGGCGTGTCCCGGGCACCCCAGGCAGCCCCGGGAGCCCTCCCCATGACTAAGCTGACCTTGAGGTGCAGATCACATGACATACTGTGTATAACTATATGCATCACGTGAACTGGGATAAAGCTGGCTTAGTCACATTGAACCACAGTTGGGCAGAATATGGGCGGAAAATCTAAACATAACTTTTTTTGCCGAGGTCCAGTCTGATATCAATAAATGTTGGCCTGCATCCTTGGATCAAGTATTTTGGATTTTTGCATCTTGCTTTTCAAGCCGGTTTCTTATCAAAAAGATACAAAATTTGAACGACATTCATTAATTGATCTGCCCATTTACTCGATTTGAGCGTTGAGTGCTTATACACCCTCATGCTCGACCTCGTTTCAACACTTCTGAATTCATTCCCCCTATCAGTCCTCTTATCGGGGCTGATCGCCATGGGTTTGATTTCGTGGCTTCGTCCCAAGGGACGCATAGCTTTCCATCACGCCAAAGACAACAATTTGACGTTGACCAAAGTTTCCGGCGCCGCAGGTGCTAAAGAGCAAACCACATTCGTGGATGTCTGTCGGTCTGCAACACCAGAAACATGCAATCTAAACCCTTTTTTGTTTAATGGGCACCTACAGACGTGCTGGACCACTCTGAAACACGACAACGTTCCCATTTACTATAAACGTAAAATGTTCGAGTCCGATAGCCCTGCATTCACGGGTCATTATGCCATGGATTTCGTGGTCGCACCGTACGACATTCCTCAAGACCCGGAGCTTACTGATCAGGCGAGAAAGTATACCCTAAAGTCTGGTATGCCGCCTCGCACATCCTTTTTCGCCCAGGATGAATTTGCTGTGTTGCCCTCAGATGACACCAAGCCTATGCTTGTGCTTCTTCACGGTCTGAGTGGTGGCTCCCATGAAGTATACTTGCGAGAAATCCTGGCACCTCTTGTCAAAGATGGCGCCTGGGAAGCATGTGTTGTCAATTCGAGAGGATGTGCGCAGACAAACATTAGTACCGGTGTTCTCTACAACGCCAGAGCTACCTGGGATGTTCGCCAATCTGTTAAGTGGCTCAGAAAGCAGTTCCCCAATCGTCCTCTGTTTGGAATTGGCTTCTCACTCGGTGCCAACATCCTCACTAATGTATGATTCCCTGGCAAAGCTGACTGTCCACGCTTTTTACTAACAAGTTGTGTAGTATCTGGGAGAGGAAGGTGACGCTTGTCAATTGAAGGCAGCTGTGATTTGTGCGAGCCCGTGGAACTTGGAAGTTAGTTCTATGGTGTTGCAAAGCACCTGGATTGGCAAGGAGGTATACAGCAGAACCATGGGGACAAGTATGAAGAAGCTCTTTGAGGCGTACGTACCTGTCTGCTCGGCTGATGTGTCGAGTTAACTAACCCCCTGCAAAACAGACATGTTGATCAAGTCTCCAAAAACCCTCGCATCGAAGTTGATACGATCAGAAACATTACCTACCTACACGAGTTCGACCGGTAAGAAGAATTCATTCTGCATCTTGAAATCTCATGTCTCTGACAAACAACAGAGCTCTGCAATGTCCAACCTGGGGCTACCCCACCGAGGGATCGTATTACCGTGATGCCACTTCTACCGATTCCATGCTTGCTATCAGGATTCCTTTCCTTAGCGTTCAAGCAGAGGACGATCCTGTAAGTTATTATCTTGTCATCCTAGCCATGAACAGGTCGCTGACTTTACTAGATTGCTTGCCGAGAGGCTCTGCCCTACCAGGAAATGACCCAGACACCATATGGAGTCATGCTGACTACATCCTGGGGTGGCCATCTAGGCTGGTTCGAGCTTGGAGGGTCCAGATGGTTTGTCAAGCCGGTATGTGATTTGCAATGGACCATTAGCATCGAAGTGAACACCATATTAACCCCATTCTTTTAGGTGACAAACTTCTTGAACACAATGGCAAGGGAAATCGATACTAATATCCCTGGTGTTGTCGAACACCCTGAAAGACTACCTGGAAATATCGCCAGCCACGGCGGCGCCAACAAAGAACCAGACCTGGCACCCAAGCCTGAGTTCGACTCAATGAGACGCAAACTCGCGCTACCTTTGGGTCTGTAATTGGTTGCACCCGGCACATTGAGCCCTCCCCACCATCTGCTGCATTAACTGTTTTTGGAAGCGGCAGGTCATTGATGGTTTACAACGGGTAACCAGAGCATGGACGGTGTTTTTTGCAGAATGATGTTTCTGATCCGATAGACATAGATTGATAAATTGGTGAAAACGCCAAACCCCGACATCTAAATACATAATCAAAGTATAGACACAAATATTCAGACTTTTTTTTTCAGGCAAAAGCAACAGTCTTCTTCTTTGATCGCCCGGGCTTCGACATACTATCCTTGATACTTGTCGGCTCCGCGGCCTTGTCGCCACGACCACCCTTCTTCTTTTGCCGGATGGAATCCTTGACGTCGTCGAACTTGTTTTTCCTCTCCTTCATACGAGCCTCGGCCTCGGCCTTCTTTGCCTCGCGGATCTCTTCTAATTGACGTGCCTTCATCATCTTGGACTCGATCTGCCCTTCCTTCTCGGCGTTGACCATAGCAAGAATTGTCATCATGCCCTCCTGTAGATGATATATTAGTATCTGGTTTCCATAGATTACAGTCAACATAACAAAGCACAAGTAGCAAGACGTACCGCATCATCGACAAAAGTCTTGCCCTTCTTCTTGCCCTTGGGCTTGATGACTCCGACGGGTGTGATTTGGTTCAACTCAGGCAGGTCCAACTCCTTCTCGGTATAGACTCTCTTCTTCTTTCTCTTCAAGTTCTCTTGGGCAGTGCGGGGCTTGTTCTTCTGTTCCTTGGGCGGGGGACGCTTGGGACCATCTTTCGATTTGCTAACGCGCGAGGCAGACGACAGGCTGGAAGACTTGCCCTTGGCGCCTCCCTTTGCAGCTCCCTTTGCACCACCAACATTAGGACCTTTGCTAGGTGCCATTGTGTAGTGATGGAAGAATTAAACGGTTGATTGGGTTGAGGCGAGGCGGACTGAGAGTGGAAGGAATGCAAAGATTGATAGGTTGGCGAGAAATGAGTTGTAATTACTTCAACAACCCAAAAAGAATTCGATACCTCTGCAACAGAATCAGAGATATCAGAAAATATTCGACGGAAAAAAAAACAAGAGCGAAGAAACGTCGCGCAGACGGTACGATAATCCCCAAATTCGCAAAGATTTTTTTTGAAAAGGCAGGCGGTGAGCCTGGCTCATTCCACCACCAACCTCAGATCGAAACCTCCACCCTCATAGCTCAGGAACCCACGTTCGATTCTCCTTTGTCTCTTTACACCCAGTGATTGAACCGCACTGGATTGAGTGGGTACTCAGTTCTTCTCCAACATGACTATCAACCCTACCTACCTGGCGCAGCGCACGCGCTCCTGTATGTCCCTTCCACGCCCGATGCGTTCCGCCGTCCACCCGGCGGGATCGTCAATGGAGTCTATCCCACCCGCGAAAAGGTGCTAATATACTTCATCATATCCTAGCTGTCAACTGGGGCGATGCGAAATACCGAGTCCTGAAGTCGTACCGTGAATGGCTCCGCGCGGTCAGTCTACCCCGAGTTCCCTAGCCGACACACCCTCTCCCTTGATATGCTCTTTTCCTCTGTTCTAGGCGAACATCATGGGAGCAAATTGATTAGTGGCTCTCTTTCTCTTCCACACGAGGCTTCATTTTAACCCCGCAACGGACTTAGCTAACATGATATCACCGAATCCAGTCCCCGGAGATCCAGACCATGTACTCCCTGGGCATGCCCGTATCCGCCATCCGCACTAAGATCCGCCAGGAGTTCGAGAAGCACCGCTACGTCAGCCAATTGAACGTCGTTGATGTGCTTTTGTACCAGAGCCACGCCGAGTTCCAGGTTAGTCCAGGTCCACCTTTCTGTCCCGGGATATATGACATGTCTATTTGATATGCGGATTCTATCAAGAAGGCAATTATGAGCAGCAAATCCTGCTTTTTTTTGTCTTTCCTTGAGATTTTTCATTATCATAGTCACCCGGCAATTCCAGGACAAAATACTGACATCGTCCCAATGCAGGAAACCCTTAACTACTGGAAGCAGCTTTCTCATGTTATGAAGTACTTCCGCCCAGAAGAAGATCCTGGCGCGCGGCTACCCCGCAACTTCGTCTCTGGTTTCCTCGAGGGCCGCAATTAAAACCCTCTTTCTGCTACTTTCTCTCTCATTTCCTTCCTTCTTCATCTCGTTTCTAGTCCG